CAGACCACCAAACGAAGTCTTCGGGAACCATATGGAACCTTTGCCCCAAACAGCCCGCGTCCCCAAGACTTGTTCGAAAACACCCGTTCCCAGCGAGCTGCTGGTGTTCGGATGTCGTGTGGCCAAGCCTTCGAGGTCGCAAGAGCCTACCGTTCGAACGGTTGGGGGGGGGGGCCCAGACCTTTCTGGCCAAGATCGGCCACCTCCCCGAACTCCACACGTCTCTCCGGTCCCCTCGCCTGATGGGTCAGTCGTCTCCGTCTCCCCTCGACACGGGAACCTCCGTCGTCCGGCCTTGGTGTTGGTCCCGACCAAGTTTCGGCCCTTCGCCCAGCTCCTCCTGGCGTGACCCGGAGCGAGCTGTGGACCCCGGCGTGAAGGGTCGTCCGCGCCCAAGGAGCCCCGGATGGACATGGGGGGCACCTGACATACCCCGGACTGAAACGTGGACTCGGTGGGCATGTGTATGTCGGTACACGTGCCAATCAACCCCACCAAAGAGGAAGAAAGGTCGGACCAACCCAGCGCGTTTCGATTGTGGGGGGGGGGTCAAGAGCAGCAAAAGACCGACCGGTTGCACGACCTCACTACAAGGTGACCAGGTGGTATGGTGACCAGGACTCCAGCTTGAAGGATCCATGTGAGTTGGGCCCTTTGTTTGGAAGGAAATCCATGAGAAATCTTATATGGAATTACGAAAAATGTAGACTCTTGATTAAAACCCCCCATTTGAATTGCAAAATCCCCTTCATATGGGGGGGATACATTCATCAAGAGTCTACAATTACAATATATATATATTGATGGATGACACAGCATGCTCTCAGGCTGACGAGTCCGCCGCCTTCCCACTCGCGCTGCCCTGCGACCGGTTGCCGCCAGCACCGGCAGCGCAAGCGCTGGCACCAGCGCTGGCCGAAGAGAGGTCTGACGCGATGGGACGAGGGTTGACAGGTTGCCGAGCCATCACTGCACCAAAATCACCCACCCTCCCACCCTGAGAACATGTCTCCTTTCACATCTATTGGATCTGTGACCCTTGTCAACCTTCCCAACCTACCAAACCAGAAGTGTGCTCAAACCTGCCAATCAGTTGTGTTTGGCCGCAGAACCAATCTGTTTCTTTCGGACGGCGCCTGCCGGCTGGCTGCCCGGCCTTCGGGCGCAGCGACCGCCTCTCGCTTTGGTCCGGTGGAATAGGTGGGGGGCTTTACACTCCTTGAAATAGTCATAGAAGTATTGTATGTATGACATGTAAGTGGAAGGCATTGCCCTTGGATGACCATTTTCCGAATACCCAACAGGTGGCTTCCATTCCACTTCCATGTTCGAATACCCAACGGACTGTAGGGGTCTCGCTGGTCTCGCTCCGTACTGTGCTTTGCTCTACTTTCCAGCACATGAGCAACGAAAACTCTGGTGTGTTCGTGCGTTTCTTGGTCTCTAAGATGTCCAAACCATGCCAAATAGAACTTCTCGTGTCTAGGCGGAATTGGAGCATGCTGGACTAGCCGTTTTTTGACCGGGTGGTGGGGGCATCGGAACGTTGTGCACAGTGCACGTTCGGCGACCGAAGTCGTCCCCGAGTTTGTTGGAGGTCCAGGTGGTTCGAACCTTCGGGCGAACCCTAGAGGTTCGATGTAAACACCACCAGCCTTCAACTCCAGGAATATTGTGGATCAGAGAGGGAGCGGTTCATGCATGGCATGGAGCGGTTCAGGAGGTCAATGGTTTCGGCAATAACGCAAAGACAACTGGGCAGAATTCCCCAAGGAAGAGGTGTCGAAATGAATGAGAGCCACTTTTGTGGGTGTGACCTATACATACATATTAAATCTTTGTTTGAGGATGGATGGACATCCTGTGCCAAGGCAAAAGAAGAGATGTTGGTGCTGAAAGACCCCAGCAGTACATGTGAGCGTTGATCATTGGGAGTGTTCAGTGGAAGTACATGTATGAGCGGGAGACTCTCCATCCAACAAATGCCCTTGGAAGCCTTGCTCCCTCTAGAAACTGTACCAGTAGCTTTCCACTTCCGCACTCGTTGGCCGGACGTTGGACCAAGTGAAACAATGTGACAACAAACGTACATTGGGTCTACTTGTGACCGGTCTACCCTGAGCTCACGCTGCTCGTCGGTGGTCCGCCTGACAGAGTGTCCCTGACCGCTGACACGGAGCGTCAAGCGACGTGGGAGCCGCGACTCTGACCCCAAGTGCTACAAGAAGAGATGGAACAGAAATCGGTGGTCCAAATCGTTGGGCTACACCCCAGACCGACCCAAAATGAAAACCGCGAACCCACCATCATGCGAAGCACCTGACTGGCCAAAACCAAGGCGCCTCAAAACCGTGGCGCGAAGGCGCCACACGCAGGGGTGCCGCACATGGGCCTCAGGGAAAAGATACAGTTGGCACTCTAGTGGAACACCAAACAAACCTCACTCCTAACCAGATGAGAAGTATTTTTTCATGTTGATTCCACTAGTATCACCATGTCCCTTTCTCTTTGCAACATGGCCAGTGGCTGGTTGGTCTCTTGGGAAGCAAGAAAGATGTTGTAACGGTGTAAAGTGCTTCTTAGGGGAACTCCAGGAGGTGCTCTTGATCATGGCGGGTCAAAATCTGAAGCCCGTTCAGTGTAGGCTGACTATGTCGACATTCTACTCATGGTCAGTGAGATGCACCCGGGTGCGGATGTGGACGAATTTATGCCAGCTTCTTTGTGACAGAACGATAAGACGAAGGATTGCCCGCTTTTTGCGGGACACGTCTCACATACCTCCCCCATGCTCTCTCTTGCTCGCAGAGCTCTGCTCTGCTCTCTGCTCTCCGAACCCGCTCGGCTCGGGAGACCGCACCTAGACCACCCGGTCCCGTGCTCAAGGCCATTTCCAAAACACACACGCCGGGGACGCGCCCCCCGGAGCCACTGAGCCACTGCGATCGCTGTTTTTTATCGCGCGGACGCGACGCGGTCCCCAGTGATTTATGGTGGTGGACCGGGATTGGTCCAACAAAGGCTGCGGAAACCGGCCCGGGTGGAAAAGGTCAAGGACCTCGTTTCGGTCCGGTCACACATATACATATACTTATCCAATGAGGCCCTTGGACCATGCTTTTTCCCAAGGTTCCACCTGGACCACCTGGATTTACAAAGAGAAACCTCACCAAAAGCGGTTTTTCAAGGATGTTAAAGCTTGTGCCACTGACTAGATATATATATATATATATACGGTTCCTGGGTTCCTGGGCTTCTCACGTCCGTGGACGACTCTAGCGCCGATGGCGCGATTCCTCTAGCCAACTCCAAGGCACCACGAGGAAGGCACCGAGTCGAGGAAGGAGGAAGGAGATGGATGAATCGGACCGACGGAAGACGAGACGTCTGAACTGGGCCCAGCTTGAGAGAAATCACTTGAGTATCTGAGTATCTAAGAGTCATGAACTTCAAATGCGTTTTGGATCTTTTTGGGACTTCAAAACCACTGGAGCGCTCTTCTCACGTGGAAGCGCAGCACAGTTGCTGAACATCCAGCTTCGCACCCAACTCGACTCAGTCGCCTCCGAGCTTCTGGACCAGATCTACAGTCGCTTTTCAGAGGGGGGATGGGTTTTTTGACGGGATCTCATCCTCCAAGACCACAGAAACGCTCGACCACCATAAACCCCCCACAAAGAGATGGAAAAACAAGGGAAAATGACCCAGCCTTCAGTACTCAAATGCTTGTCTACCAGTGGTAACTCTGCAAAAAGAACAGCTTCTTCTACAGTAGACCACCTCCATCCTCCGCGCGATGACCTGACCCACGTTTTTGTTGGCCTCCGCTTCTCCGGTGTCTTTCGCTTCGCCGGTGTCTCGCTTCGCGGTGCCGCGACCGGTCCATGAACGGTCCAAGCCCTGCTTCTGAACATGCCAGTGGATGGCGAACCAAATTGTTTCAACCCCACTCGATGGAATCTTCTGTGTGGGCTCCGGCTCGGGGTGAACACATTTGTCGAAGCCAGCTAAAGGGTTCAGGGTTACAGAAGAGGGCGTGCGAAAGGAACAGATGGAGAAATATGGAGAACTCATCTACACAAGAATGCACCGCGATTTGGCACACCTTCTTCAGCTAAAACACCAAAGAATACCCACCAGCCACCAGCCACCTCTGTATACAACGGGGGTTTGTTCACACCGGTAGCCCTTCGCATGGACAGTAGGGTAACAGCCCTTCGGCACTGAGAGACATCGAAAGCAGACATCTTTCTGTTCGCACAATCTGGGAAGCACGAGGCTTGTCAGTGTAGAACGCACCGCCGAGTCAAGGAACATGCTGAACATCAAGGAACATGCTGAAACTGGGCGCAGTCCTTTGGTCCTCTCTTTCATGAGTCAATGGAATTCATGTTCAATCCCAACAACTCTTCCCAAAAAGCGCGATGGATTTTGCAGGATCTGTCCCATCGCCTGACAAGCCCCGCTCTAATACGACAGCCATGTGCCGTCGCAGCATCGACAGCCCGCGTGCAGTCATGAGCATCCAAAAGAGCAATTCGGAGTAGACTGGTTTATCCGCCAAGTGAAGAGCACAAGCCATGACAGAGCGTCACTTGGGACTTTGACTTGGACTTGGACTTGTTCAGTTGGAACGTTCTTGTTGTATCAGTTCAGCGGCCACGGATTTTGTGTCAGGTGATCAATTGTCAAAGTGTCAGTTCACGATCGTTATTGTGTTAGGTCGCTGTTTTCAATGTGTCAGTTCATGGCTGTTGCTGTGTCAGTTCCTTTTTTGGGGTGCATCAGTTTCCCTTGTATGTTGAGTCAGTATTGTGTCAGCTGAATGCTGAAAAGGCAGCAAGCCAAACAATGATACCCACAGAAAGGCATGATAGAGCAACGCTCTAAATCTAAATCTAAACAGATCTAAAGCATGGGGAAACCGCATTCTTGACCCCTTAAGGTGAATCTAAAGGTGAACTACTATAGGCAAAGGTGCAATTTGGGTGGGTGCCTTAGCAGGTTCAGTCCATGCTCGCTGGACATGTGTTCTTCCAAAAGAACTGGTACACTGCATCTGGTCGCGTCGAGCTTGAATCCCATGCAGGTGAAACCGCCGCTGCATCTGAGAGGCGGCGCCCCTGGCGACCAGTCACGTGACGTTCGGCTGTGTTCATCTGACATGAACTGCTGGGTCTGACTGTCGAAGTTAGCAATCGAAAGGAAAAGCACAGCTAGGAACGAACGTACCAAACAAAACACCAGGCACTTCCCATGGTTCAGTGGCTGCCAAGCCCTGCCAAAAGAAACGCGGGCGCCCACCCACCTCTACGCAAAGGAGGCGCGGATCGGCGCCCTGGTCGGCACAAACTCTCGGCGACCCCGGTGGGCGCACAGCACCCGTTCGCGCCTTTGCATGTGAAGCTGAAATACATCGTTGCACGGGTCGTTAACATATACCAGTACCCTCCAACAGGTCACCACCTGCGACTTTTAAGTCTATATACAAAAGCCTCCAGAGGAGACCTGTAGAGTCGGGTGCTGGTATATAGTTCAAGGAAGTGAAAAACGGTGACTAGAGACCCATCACTGAAGGGATCACGGAAGGGGGGGGTCATAAAGGGTTCATGGACATCGGTCGGTTCCCCCTACTTTTTGGAGGTCCACGTTTGGTCCGTTTGAGCTCGAGACCACCAGATCTACTCTCCCTGGAAACATCATGGAACTGGATTTCACCACCCTGTTTTGGTATTCGGATTGCATGGTCCTCCGAAGTCGGGGACATGCCTTTTCCATCCTGTTCCACAAAAAAGAACATGAAAAGCGTTGGATGCCCCCAAAAATTCCTCTACAAACCAATGGTACCATCCACGTAACCCATGAATTTGTACAACTTGTACCATGTTGTACCTGATCTTCCTCTGGGCCCCCGGCAGCGGATTCGGAGGCACCTCGCGGCGGAGCGAGGCTAGCGGGCCGCCATGTCGGCTGATCCGTGGCTGATCGGCTGAAAACGACCAATGGTTGGATAAGACTGGAAACATGTTGATCTCTGGTGATATTGGATACAAGTCCTACCAATTACCAGTGTTAAGCCTGGTTCTTAGAATTGGTTGAAAAAATATGTGAATGATCTCTGACCAGGCGCTTAGAAGCAATCACTGATTGACACATGTAAACTTTTATCTTGAGGGTAGTGCTTCGAACATCCTATGCTATTTGGTGGCTGTTGGAGATGGTTTTTCTCTGTCATAGATTTGGAATCTCCCATGTTTTATGTTCTTTGCCTGGAGAACAATACCTCGCTATGTGTTTCCTCGAAATAAACATATTGCATCATATTGCTTATGGATTGCTGAATGCAAAGTATTCCAAGAAGAGGTATGCTACCGTGTGTGGCAAATCCGACCATCAGCACTGACTAAGCGTAGGTTGGGTCTAGTAACTAGTAGATCGAGCCTCCATCTTTAAGATCTGCATGATAGCTTTCCCCAAGGCAAAAACGCCATCGAAGGAAGGGTGCGAGCTCTTCCCCAAGCCTGTCCATCTCATACCGAGTCCAAATTTTACAGGACATCTGTCGCTGTTCATACGATATTCAGAAAAATGGTACAGCATACTGTAGATTCAAACAGATCCCATCCACATTCTCTCGTTCGACGTTGACTTTGCTTCATCTGCCCCATCTGCCCCTCCAACTTTCCCCCGGCTCCTGTGCGGCAAAGGTCGCCCTGGCCGGGCGGACCGTCACAAAGGAGCCTCCACGCGGCACGGCGTCGCAGCTCGGCAGCTCGTCCGGTCCGACGTCATGGCGACGTGCTCCATCGGTTTGAGGTTTTGGGCGAAGGCTAAGGGAAACTGGTAGAAACTGGTTTGACCCAGTGTAGATACGGGATACAAGGTCTCAGGGTCGTAGGGTATTCTTGGCTGAATGTAAAGGACACACATGTTGGGCCCAGGCTTGGCAAGTGTCTTTGATAAATCCTTTCCCCATTTCCTCCCAATGAGTTTAAGACGGATTCTCTGATGTTTTGCCAAAGTTGCTGTCTATCATGCAGATTGCAATAAGTGTACTATATTCATACCCAGACGCTCCAAACAGCCCTTGGTCCCTCAAAACCTATATATATATATTTTTATATATTATATAGATATCACTTTGGTGCACTGACCAATCTGATCCCTACTTCCGCTCATCTCGCCTTCTGCTCCCTTTCGGACCTTGACATCGAGCGGTGTGTCCAGAGTCGGTTGGATCCCAAGGGTAGCTAGGAAGCAAAAATCAAACAAGTGTCTTTTCTTTAACCATGTTTTACCTGTACCAGAACCTTCCAAATTCAGTGGTTTTTGGACACCTTCCAAATCACCTCAAGAGGCTGATAGACATCCCTCAGAGTCGACGGTGTTTTTCGGTTGGCGCCAGGATGGCATGGCGACGAATCTCGGACTCACGACTGGACCCGGCTGACAGTGGGTCCGACCTTCTTTTCATTCACACCGCTGCACACCCGGCTGACGCGAGGGCAACCTCTCAAAATCCCGAACTTCACAACTGGAGGGTTGCAGACGCGTTGATCGAACTCATCCGGCTGGCACAGAGCATGGTGAGATTCCAAATCTTTGCGTGTCACAGTCTCTCCTGCATTGCACCCTTTGTCGGAGTACGTCTTTCTAAGCACAATGCGATGCTCCCAAACTGCAAATCCCTTCTCAAAAGGATTCTGAAACCGCTTCAACAGGTTCCGTTCACCCGTGTTCCACGTCATGAAAGATCTGCCAAGATCTGCCCTGGCACCTGTGTGTTTTCCCCTCTGACCAATGGGTTTTGCGGCTTTGCGGCTTGACGAACACCCGTATTGGGTGCCACTGGAGTTCTGACCAATGGATTGATCCATTTTCTCTGACCCCCCACGGAGCTTCCGTTCGTTCCCACCGAGCTCCCGAGCGACGTGGGCCCTGGCACGTCGACTCTCGGAGTCGACCGTCGGAGGTCGGGTCTGATGCGCGGGTCGATGGTGCGTTTGGTATATACCCCTGTCCGTCCAGCATGGTGCGGATTACTGTCCTTGCTGTATACTGTATATGGTGCGTGTTACTGTGCTCAATGGGTGAATCAATTCACAATCCAACAAGTCAGCACGCAAGAGGTGCTGACGGTGGCTTTGCCCGCATCTCCACACCCCTGTGTCATAGTACCAGGTCTGCCGGCCCCATGCCTCTCCTCCGGTGCCACGCATGGTGCTCCGCCACTCCCACGCCGTCCTCGGACCCCTCCTTCGACCCTCCCAAACTCCGCCGGGAGGACACGGGCGGCTTTTGCGTCGGTATCACCGGCATGGTCGGTTGTCGCATCACCGGCGCATGCCCGCTGGCCCTGGGTAACTGCGACTCGGTGGGTGGCGGTGTGAGCATCCGATAGAGCTGAAGAGATTGAGAGCCCGTACCGGACTGGCTCGAAAATGCAGAGGGATAACCAGCCGGTGCGGTTTGCATCAGTGCTTGTGGTGCTTGCTGTGGCTGTCGCGAAACCATCTGCGGCGTCTGTTGCTGCACCTGCTGTGATGCTTGCTGTGCTTGCTGTCGTGCTTGCTGCGGTTGCTGCGCTTGCTGCTCTTGCTGAGGTGCCGGCTGCTGCACCTGCTGTGATGTTTGCTGCACCTGCTGTGAAGGTTGCTGCACCTGCTGTGGCCTTTGCTGCTGCACCTGCTGTGGTGCTTGCTGCTGTGACAAGCTCTGCTGTGACGCAGGTGCTTGCGCTTGTGGGGCACCAGGCTGTCTCAAAGGGACCTTGGCACAGCACGTCAATCTGACAACTACCGAAAAGTCTGTAGCACAGTCACATGTCAACAAAACCCTGGAAATTATACCAGCATAGACATAGACCCCAAACAGTTTCAAAACGATTCGTTGGGGCCAATTTCTAAGATAGAACCCCAACAGTAAACTGTTTGGGGAAATATAGGTAGGTGTTGAGTTGAGTCCACCATTTCGAGTTTATACCCACGTATTCTCACCGGTGTTTTTTACAAGCGTAGTTTAAGGGTCCAAGTGTCATGTTCAACATGACACCTAATCCACCTAGTGCACAGTACTCTAACCGTTTGAGCTCTCCCCCACGCAGCGAACTCTGCCAAATCTTGCGCCACTCCCATTTTCACTGAGGCATCTGCAGTGGAAGGAACACTTTGGCCTTAGGCCGGGAGGATGCTACGATTTTCCTATTGGATTTGCTGTCCAGGAACCAAACAATAAGATGAAAACATATTGAAACCTCTTCCCCAGGAACCGGGGATTTTCTTCGGGAGAAGATCGACCCGAAGCCAAAACGCCAGCTCATCCAGGTCAGCCGACTGGGGGGATCCGACCGCCCCCGGACCGCGCGGTGTCGGTGTTCGTCGTTTGCACCGGCTTCTCTCGGTGTGTTTTTGGTTCCTTACGCCATATATGGGCCATATCTTCGAGTCATGCTGGTCTTTTTGGGTGGGACGTCTTTGCGATGGCAAAAAAAAACTCCCATCCCAAAGATCACCACTTCAACCAACCCTCGGAACCCGAAGTGGTGCATGCGCTGCAACACCGCTGCACTCCTCACGTTCCTCTTCTTTTTTCTGCGTGCTCGTCCGCTCGTCGGGCTGTTTCCCGCGCAAGCGGCGCTTCGTGGAGACACAAGCCTCGTGGGAAGTTCGTCGCTCGAGGGGATCGGAGCGGCGTGTCGGAGGTTCCCAAGTTAGATCGGTAGCAAGCTAGGTTAGGTCGACCTGGTGGGAAGGTGATGGAAAGAATGACCAGTTGTATATAAGATTGAATCATTTTACATCATTCTACTAGGACCCGATGGGATGCTACTGTAAGTGCTGATGAGAGAGGTGGTATAGTTGGTTATTCGGGGTAAGTGCAACATGTTGGCTATGGTGATGTGATTAAAGTTAAGATGACAGGAATGTTTCGGACTGGTGTCCCTCGTTTTGGAGATTTGCAGCTGTAGCCTGGTGAGGCATTGAAGCTGCAGCGAACGCACGACCCTTCAACCAAAGAACCTGCCGGGTGGTTCATGCCGCCAAGAATCTGTACTCCTCAAGCTACTCATTGACGGGGCGCTACTGGTCACACTCGCTGTGCTGGTCACACTCGCTGTGGTGGTCACACTCGCTGCGGAGCTGCTTAAGGATAATGTACTGCTGGAGCTGAGCACACAGCCGAAGAGGCTCGATTTTGGTCTCGTCAGTCTGAGGCGGCAGGCAGACTTTATTGAGGTGGCAGGCAGGTCATAGGGGGTCACAGCGGATGGTGATTCCAAACTACCAAAGAGGTAATTGTCTACTGGTAAAGATGTATCCCACCCAACAAGCCTTAAGCGTCACCAAGTCCCACTCCACTCCATCCACTCCACTCCCCACATCACAGAACCACCGCAGATCCGCTCGCGTCCGCGCCGAACGACCCTCCTTCGCCGCGCGCCTGACCGCCTCTGCCTCAGGCGTCGCGCGCTGGCGGCGCGGACGACGAGGCGGACGCCTCTGCCGCAGGCGTCGCCGCACGGCCTGGGACTTCAGCACCGCGCGGCGCATCATGTGGCGCTCGCCCCAGTGGTCCAAGCGCCGCTGCCAGACCTGGAGCGGCGGAGCGGCGCGGCGACCGGGCATGGCGGTGTCATGGTGTGGATGGGGACCAAAAAAGAACGGCAAATGGATTCATTGCCAAAGAGATGTTTTAGGATGATTTATCATTACTATGGAATCTAGCGGAACAATCAATACTTTCTATCTCAAACTGAACAATCAAGATTCTCTTTTGGGGGTTCTTTGACCTCACCGTTGAAAGCCGAAGCCAGGACACGCCCCGAGCGCCGAAGCCAGGACGAGGCGGTCGGAGCTTGTTTCGCAGGGGAATCCGCGACGATGAGCACTACAAGCGAGCCCACTCAGAGCATGTACTGTACTTCTAGTGAAGAGAAATCTTCTCCAACCCACATAAAAACAAAAAAAGGCACCCAAACGCATCCGCCCTAAACACCTTTTCCAAAACACCCATAACCAAAAACTCTACTCCACCTGGGTTCCAAGGCACGGCCAGATGTTTCCGGAGGGCGTTCAAGATCCGGGACTTGAGATGCATCTTGTAGCTCCGCTGTCTCCAACGCTTCGCATCCTCCTACGGCGACGTGGCGACCGCGCGCGTCTCCAGGTCGCCAGGCCCATCCACCCCCCGGGCTCGGGGGGGGGGGGGGGCGCCCCCGGGGGCGGGGGGGGGGGGGGCAGCCCCGAGGGGTGAAATCACAAGGGAGTGAATTCGAAGCACGACGAGTGATTCGAAAGGGCAAAAGGTTCGTCTTTGACCTCTTTTTCAGAGACGAACACGTCACCGGCTGGGGGTTGGGGTCGATAGGCTCCTGTTGCTTCGCACTTCGTGTCTTTGGACTCAGTCGCTTGCGCCAAAAAGATTGTCGAAGAATCATCCACAGGGAGCCCACCACATCTTGTATGGGATTTCATGGATCTTTAGAAAGATTAGAGATGAGGTCTGCAAGGTTTGGGCGTTGCTCAATCCTGCGAAGCCATGCTATAAATGAACTGTAATTCGATGGACCCAGAACCAGTGCTTGCCATCCAGTTGAAGTCAAAAAAGACCGGCTCGGAACCACCCTCTCCCCATCCCTCTCCCAATCTCCCGTGTCATGTTCGCCAATTCCCACTGCTGCAGCTGTCGCCGTCGTTGCCCCTCGCGGCTCGCGTAGATGCGCTGCGCCTTCGACGAGTCTCCCAGGACCGCCGCATAGGCCCTGCAGCTCCGGAGGAACTGCGAGGTCTGGGAGGATGATATTCTTCTTATATTGAATAATTGTAATATGCATGTGTATATATATATATATATATATACACATGCGTGGGTTGTTTTTGTTAAATGATGTTAACATATTCTACTTATAGTTCCAAACAACTGTTATAGGTGTCTTCTTTCTTTGTTCCAACTGATGCCAAAATCATGGAGATGTTGGGGGAAGGTTTCGAGCTCCAAAACGTTATGCCGGGAGCTCGCCTCCAGCGGGGAATCGTTGATGCCGATGGCGACCGCACGTTGCGTGTTAGTCGCGCTCTTCGGACCCCACACTGTTGGTAATTATGGTGTGGTGGGTGGCAAGGGCAGCGGCCCAATGGATGTTTTTGCTGCACCTGATGGCGTTTCCGTACTTTTAACGTTCGAAGGCCAACATCTTGATGCACTCGGTAGACTCAAGTGCATGTCATGCGTCACGTGTCCTGGTCTGCGTGAGTTTCCCTTGTTTGCAGGTTCTTTTACGTTTGTCATGTCGTGATCAGTTCTTTTGTCTTCCTGCCTTCTTGAATGTTCATGAATAACTATGTTCACTGACGGTTAATATCTTGCATTGAATCATTAATTGGCTTGATGACTCGTGCAACAGATCCTATTATATAATTTATGTATATTTATATACAGTACACTTCTTGAGCCTTTTACATTTGTTTAGATCCTGATCCTTATTTTCTACACTTGGACTCTCCTGGAGCATCTCACCAAAGGGTTATATAGGTCGTTCTCGAGAGTCATGCCCGGCAGTTCAAACAGTTCATGTCGGTGCACACAGGTGCCCGGAGCCCGGGGCTCGGGTCCCGCGACATGACTGGCGTAAACGTGCTTTCACGTCGTCTGAAGGCGGACTCGGCTCCCCAGGCTCCCGCTGCACAGCCAAAAAGACATCTGACCCCACGATGGAACCAGGTTCAATTGGGCTTCTAGAGGAAAATCGCCTTCGGTCCATGCCATCAGGTTCAGGTTCATCAGGTTCGCCGGACGAGCGCGACAGATCGAGGGCATGTCTAGAGCAGTGCTTGCGCGCTTTCGCGGCGAAAAGCCGACTCAATCCAGGAGAAGTTCGTTTTTTTCCTGTTGTGTTTTTCTTTGGAAGTGTTCACCCAAGGCCAAGCAAGCCATTTGGCATATGTTTTTTTACATGGAACTTTTTGGCACCTCCGAATCACCTTGCAAATGCCACTTTCGATACGACATCCATTGCCATGAATGGCTCAAAACACAGCAGGAAGATCGTGCTTTTGAATTTTGTGAATGAGTGCTTGATGCCTTTGGCCACAACCCCAAACTCGCGGTGTTTTTCTCCCCGGCCGGGATGTTTCTTTTGTTGTTGGCGTTGTTTCTGGAGCTTTCCTCTTTACTTGATCCTGGAGTCGATCAGGTGGCAAACGGACATCGGATTCTGCTGTGTTGGATCAGTTCAAATCGGAGGTCGGTGGAGTCACTTGATTAAGACTCATCAACCTCCGCCGTCGGGTGAAGCATCCCCTTGTTCACGACGGGTGAAGCATCACCCAATCCGGGCGTCGAATCCGGGTGTCGAATCGTTGGGCGCCGGAGGTGAAGCCCCTTTCGAGTGTGAAGAAGTGCTTTCAGCAAGTTGGTGCCATCACATGCGTCAGGGAACATCACACTCCTAATGAACATCAGGGAACCTGCGAACATCAGTGTTTGGTGCCTCCGAAAGCCTTGCCAACTCTTCTCCATCTCCATGGGACCGCGCTGCATCAGCCTGGGCTGCTCCAAGAAGGGTTCCAGACGCTTCCTGGGGCGGATGGCGGAGCGCCATGTGGCCATGTGGCTCCTCGATCCAAAACAAACCAACAGGAGCCATGCATTTTGAGGGGTCTAACGAGTGTTTGGCCAACAGGATTGCTTTTGGGGGGGTCTAATGAGGTCCATTCATGTCGATTCCCTTTTCTTAACAATGAGGTCAGACATTTGGGATGTGGAGCCTCTGAGAACCTTTTTGAGTGTTTCGCTATATAATCTACAGCAGGCCTGAAAGCCGTGGTGTTGGTCCTCCAGGACACCCCCACTTGATAAATATGGTTTTCAGACCTGCGGAAGATGTTCACCTATGATGCTCCAACCCAAGCCTTCCAAGGCCATTCAAAATTGGTTGACCTGGTTTTGCGTGTAAAATCCTTGGTAAAACAATGGTTGTTCGGTAAAGGCTATTGAATCAACGGTGGTTGGAAGCCTAGGGCAAACAAAGTGACGATGAAGGAACCCTACGAAGGTATATGAAAAGACTCACGAAAGCCTCACGGACTGCTCGGGTTTGGCTGTCCTCACCACCTCCGCCATCGCCAGTGACTCCAGGCCATGAGTAGACAACGTGTGCCTAGCAGACGAGGG